ACCTAGAAGTCTCAACTCTGGTCAGCAAATATCCAGATATCAGGTAAATGCTGAGCATCAGCAAGTTGTTCAACAGGCTACTCCTACTTCCCTTAGGAAGACAAGCTGTGAGCATCAGGAGTTAGACAGTGTGAAGAGAGAGGTTGTCAGGACTGTGGTGGTGAGGGTACCTACCTGATGTTAGCAGAATCTGGCTGTGGTTTGTACACCTGCCTTGTAGCCAAGCTTCTGTGCCCGAGTGAGTGGTGGTGAAAAGGTGAACCTAACTATACAAAGTAGATGAGAAGTGTCGTAGTTCGGATTTTATTGCTGTGAAGAGAAACCATGACCACAGCAACTCTTACTAATAGGAACACATTTAATTGGGTCTAGTTTACAGTGGTTTAGTCCACTATGATGATGGGACATGATGGCACGCAGGCAGACATGGTGCAGGAAAGGAGCTGAGAGTTCTTATCTTGATCCACAGGTAGCAGAAGCAACTGTGTTGCTGGGTGGTGTAGCTTGAACATAGGAGACCTCAAAGCCCACCCCCACAGTGACATACCTCCTCCATTGAGGCCACACCTACTCCAGCAAGGCCACACCTCCCAATAGTGCCACTCCCTATGGGGCCATTTTCTTTCCAATCACCACAGGAAGGATTGAGTATTGCATCTTTGATGAGTGGAAGGTTGTGATCACTGAAATGGTCTGAAAGGTGGTCTTAAACCCCATGATCTAAAAAAGAAAGCTGTCGTGTTGTATGTGGCCGGGACTTCCTTGAATATCAGTACTCAGTATCAGGCTATCTGCTCCATGCCTCTCTATGTGTTGTGCTAGCTTCAGGCCCCAGACCCTGCCTTTGCGACTTCTATTCCAGGAACCTGCCGTTTCCTCTAAGGGTGAGCATGGCTAAGTTGTCTATTGCCACTGTTAGAAACTAGAGTCCTAAACCCTCTAGGGTCTCCTTCCCTGGTTATGCATTCTTGACAGCAATAGTTAGAAGAGCAGAATTTAAAAAGTCCTTTACATTTTTCAGAGAGAAAGTAAGATGAAATTTTGGGTATCTCTCCTGTAAAAGAAGAGATGCATGCCCCTTGTGACTGACAGTATCCCACCCTGTGGGTGTCACCTGTGGAGACTGAGGGAACCGAGAGAAGATGGAGGCTCATGCTGTGGATTTCTCCCCCACAGAGATGACCACATTGGTGCCCTGTTGGCGGTGCGAGGAGATGCCAGCCGGGACATGAAGCAGACTATCATGGAGACGCTGGAGCAGGGCCCCATGCAAGCAAGCCCCAACTATGTACCCATCTTCAAGGAGATAGTTGTGCCAAGTCTGAATGTGGCAAAACTCCTTAAGTAGCCCTGCCCTCTGCTGCCTCATATGTCTTCACTGTGTGACTTCCTGTTGCCACCCCAAGAAGCAAATACATTAAAACAAAAGCCCTTCTCTGGGTGCTCCGTATAATGTCAGTTTCATGTGCCTGTCTCCTGTGGCGTCTTCTCTATGAAAACCTCTTGGTCACTTGTCACTGTGAAGATGTGTGTGGTGGACGTCACTTGTTCTTCCCTGCTGAGGCTTTCTCTGCTTAATTGACACACTTTGAACCTCTGCCACTTAATTAAAGGAAAGGAAAGCCAGAGAGCTTCTTATTCCTAGTTGTAGGTTGTTCTGACTGCTGTCCAGAAGCTACAGGTCATCAGGTCTCAGCTGACTGGTGAGTAGTCCTCAGCAGTCTCTGGGGCCAATATCTACCCTGACCTTACTGCCTCTCTGGCTGTCCCTACACCACTGCTTAGTCGTCTTGACAGGGGAAAAAACAAAAAACAAAAAACAAAAACCTCACCTGCTGAGCCAGTCAGCCCCACCCAGATGAGCACAACCTCATATGAGTTGAGTGCTATCTGGGTCACTTATATCAGGAGGATGAGATAACACAAGATGTCACAAGTAAAATTTTTGGTCAAAGTATGTATGAAAAATGAGTATTTAAAATATGTGTTAAGATCTATATAGCATGCTTATTTGTGATCCAAGGTTTCTACAATTCTTTCCCTAAGTTAGCCAGCCAGTGGTGGCATTATTTTGCACATTAAGCTAATTAATAGGATTATATCCAGAATAAATACTGAGCCCTATATCTTGTGAACATGGTCTTCAGAAGGTGGTCTGCTTACCTGAAGGAGAGGTAATGCCTGGGTTCCCTTGTCCACAGCTCTCCATGTACATAGATGGTTTGTTCTCTCCTCCTTGTTCCAGAGCTCCAGGGACTTCCTAAATTAAAAAGTGGTGGAAGGCCTGGTAGGGCCTGTCTATCTCCTGGGCCTTGTACCACATGGCCACCCTTGAATGTGTGGACTAATGCTGTATGCTCTTTCTACTTTTGATGGCAGTGTTAGTATTTTGCTTCCATTTCATTCTTACAAGGTATAAAAATTCACAAATAACCTACTTTTCTATGTGGAGCTAAGTTAGAATTCCTCTGGAACTCAGAAGAGACATGGATTTCCTAGAGGGTCTGGTTGGTGTTGTGTTGGTCCAGGGCCTACTCACAATCTGCTCAATGTGAATGACAACTGGGCAGTGCTCATTAAATGTGCGCTGAGAAGTATTGACCAATAGCAGTGACCCTTTAGTGACAGCTTTTTCACTGCAGGCTGCTACTGCTGCTGAGTGTCTAGGCTAGACATTAAGATGACCACTGTCTGCCCCTGGGGTTAAGCCCATTTGTCTGTCTGGCTCTGGAGGTCAACAGAGGACAGAGGAAATCATGTTCCTGAACAGTGAGTAGTAGGATCATGGAGACAGGACAGGGATTGCTAGAAGTCGAGAGATGGTACCAGGTCATGTGCCAGTGGGTAGACAGTGTCCATCATGATACCTGGGAAAGGCAGGGACCAAGGACCTTTTTAGAGAACACCTATGTACAGGATTGGATAGGCTATTCCAGTGAGTGGGTTGTGGCTACATATACCAAAGTTTATGTCTGCTTCCTGAACAAGGATATAGGGCTGCCATCTGCCAGATAGGGAAGTATTTGGAGAGAGAACACTCACCAGGTATTGGTTTTGTCTTCCATGAAATGAGCTGTTACCCAATGAAAGGACATCTTCCAAATTAGTGAAGTCCCTTGATTGTTGACTGTCTTAGTCCCTGATTCTTTTGCTGTGAAGAAATACCATGATCAAGGCAACATTATAAAATAAAGCATTTAAATGGGAGCTTGCTTACAGTTCAGAGGTTTGGCCCATTATCATGGTGGGGAGCATAGCAGTATGCAGTCAGGTGCTCTCAGTAGCTGAGAGCTGTATCCTGATCTGTAGACAGAGGGAAAGAGACTCTGGGCTTGACATGGGCTTTGAAACTTCAAAGCCCACGCCATTTGTATTCAAACTAAACTGCCACATTTATTTAGTGGGTTCCTGAATGCGATGTCCCAGGTCTTGCTGGGCCACCAGTGAGATGGAGAGACAGCTACCAGATGCCATTTCTCCCTCTCTCCCTCGTATCTGTTGAAGCTCAGCTCAGCTGGTGGGTGAGGTCCCTCTAAAGAAGGAAAGGACGGGCGTCCTGGGCACTTGGGGTGCAAGCTGCCAGAACCAGGCCTCCTCAGCAGGCCTTTAATCTAGAGTGCAGGAAAAGCTGGACAAGCAGGGCCACCCTGACTCACTTCCTTTCTTACTTCAGTGGAATGAATCATGACCCCTAAAAAAAACAATTGAGGTCTTAACCTTAGAACCTTGAATCAGCAGCGGGTTAAAAGTAGAATCGTTGCAAGCGTGATGTATATCAAGGTGTTATAAAGTCACATGAGAATAGTATAAGTACTTGAGTGGAGATGCCAGCAGCTCTTAGCTTTCCTGACCCCTGGACTTCAGATTTCTTCCTCTATGGCATGAAACAGACTTTATGAGTAATCCAGTCTATGTTCTTTGCTAGTTTACCCGTTGTATCCACTTGAGATGACTATAAACAGTTGAGACTCCTCTTGTAAATAACCAATATCTGAGGATTCTGTGTGCAATTTTTAAAAACTAATTTTTATTTAAATTAAAAACAATCTTATTTTACATACCAATCCCAGTTCCCTCTCCCTGCCATCCTCCCATGCCCCCACCATCTCCCTATCCCACCCCTATCCACTCCTCAGGGAGGGTGAGGCCTCCCATGGGGGATCATCAAAGTCTGTCACATCATTTGGGGCAGGGCCTAGGTCCTCCCCTGTGTATCTAGGTTGAGAGAGTATCCCTCCATAGGGAATGGGCTCCCAAAGCCCTTTCATGCACTAGGGATAAATACTGTTTCCACTACCAGAGGCCCCATAGACTGCCTAAGCCCCCCAACTGACACCCACGTTCAGGGGGGCTGGTTCGTTCGGTCTTATGCAGGTTCCCTGGCTGTCAGTCTGAGTCTGTGAGCTCCCACTTGCTCAGGTCGCTGTTTCTGTGGGTTTCCCCAGTGTGGTCTTGACCCCTTTGCTCATCACTCCTCCCTGTCTACAACTGCATTCCACCAGTTCAGCTCAGTGCTTAGCTGTCAGTCTCTGCTTCTGCTTCCATCAACTACTGGATGAAGGCTCTTCTGTGTGCAGTTTTAAAATAATACTTTAAAATAAAAATGTGTTGCAGGACCTCTAGGCTTCATGTTTGACAGGCTCCACCACACATCTCTCCCACTGTCTTGTCTCAACTCACAGAGACCCTCCTTGGTGCCGTTTCTCCCCATTCTTCCCACTCAGCCACTTTGATATGTCTAGCATCTCAGCCACCTCCTTGGCCATGGTGGGCACTGATTCAGTCATCCACTGCCCATTCGGTCGCAGGAAGCCTCTGGTCTGTTCTGTATCTGAGATGCTAAATTGGAGGCTTTCCATAGCTGTGTCCAACAGCTTCTCACCTCTAGTAGGGTGGGCTCAGAAACACCATCTGTTGATCTCAATTTTACTGTATAACAAACTGTTCCTAAATTATCCTGGATAAAGTTTTTCATTTATAAACAAAGTTTGCACCCAGAATGTGTTGAAATGTTTTTAATAGACTTAAACAAGTAGTCACTACGGTTGTGCTGATGTCCCCTGTACAGATGATGCCCACTCAGTGGAGAGGGGGTCATTTTAAGGCACATTATTCTGTAATCAGAATTAAACAAAGTTCAACTATGATTATGCTCACAACATTTCACAATTTTAACCACTCAAAATATATTTCTAGTTTTGATAAAATTCTGTAAATTTCCTTTCACAAAAAGATCCGTAATACATAGTATATTGAACACTGTAATAAAATTATTTTCAAGAAAATACAGTTGTGGAAATACAAATTTCCCAAATTTGTATACTTTGTAGTAACACAAAGTAGGTCAAAGTTCAGTATTAAATAAATATTCTCTCCTAATAAAAAATTTTTACAACAGTTTTCCTAAGGAAATACATTCATAGGATTTTACATTCTATTGTACAACAATGACAAGAACAGGGGGATCCTCAACTATGAAATGTAGCCACCGTGTCATCAAGCACAGGAAATGGTTTTTTGCAAATGGGACTTTCTTGTCAAAACTGGTTCCATGCCGCTATGCCAAGGTATGGTTCACAAACTCAAAGGACACGGCCTGTGCACCGCTAAAACACAGGGACAGAGTGTCGCAAGATTCATCACCTGGCTGCTAGCTTTGGTATCTGTGGGTGGGTATCTGTTGCCCCTGAGGCACTGTCTGGTCAGACACGGCTTCTAATTCTGCAGTGGGAATTAGACCCCGTGTCCAACAGATCAGGTGGTGTGTTAAGGCAGTGTCCGGGCACAGGCAGGCATGGGAAACTTGTCTGCAAAGCAGGGGCTGGCAGGTGCACTCAGCACACCCCTGGTGCATTAGCCAGGTACAGCCTACCTAGGAGGTTCCATTAGCCAGGCACAGCCTACCTAGGAGGTTCCAGCGGCGGCTCCAGATGGAATTACTGGCCACAGCATTCGTTTTACAACGGCTGGACTGCATTTCAGAAGTGGTCAAAATGCTGCAAGGGAAAAGGGCCATGGAAACCAGATGCTGTGCGTCTGAGTCTGAGCGCCAGTCAGCAGTGTACTGACAGGTTCCGGTGGGGACAGAATGCAGTACGATGTGCGAGCTTGCTTTGTATTCGTTCATTTCTCTCAGTTTGTGAACAGGAAGTTGTCCACTCTTCCTATCCACGATTCAACTGCAGCATTAATACAAACTGGTGGACCTTCTTGTGAGCCCTGTGAGCGAAACTGTCAACCTTGTTCCTGAGACACAGTATTTAGTTTCCTGAGCAGAGAGCTGAGTGGTTTGTTTCAGAAGTCTCCAGGAGGTCCCTACATCCACCTTGAGCCTCATACCAGTCTCCCTCAAGTGAGATCCTGTGGTGCAGGCCAAGTTTCCAGGAGCACAACTCAGGTTACTGTTCAAGACTGGACATCTGAGGAAAGGTGATGAGGACACGGCTCTTACCACTCCAGGGGACGGTGCTCTACGACTGAAATCCTGGAGGCAAGGCGGACATGCCCAGACAGTGGATTCCTGTATGCCCCCCTCCTGGGTGATGTAGAGCCCTTCTGTGTCCACAGAGAGCTGGCTATAGTTCTGACCAAAGTTGCCTGTGGGTCCCCCTTTAGTCCCCTATCCCAGCCAGTCTGACCATCTGCGGTATTCCCAACTTAGGGACAGCTCAGGCGAGACACCTTGTTTGTGCCGGCAAGGCCCAGACTGGGACGGGTCAAACAGGAGCCAAAATTGGAACAAATATTTCTGCAGTTGATCCTACAAGCCACAAGGTGGTAGGACAGTCTGGAGAACTAACTTGGAAGGGGGTCAGCTAGGGCCTGGGGGAAGTGTATCTCTGAAGATGTACAAGAAGCTGCTGCCCGGTTAGGATCTGGGCGGTGCAACTTCCACAAATCTTAACTGTTAAGACGTTTGTACCAGCTGTGATAAGAGGTCCGCCACCGGCCTCTCAAGGGTCTTTCTCCTCTGAGTAAGAGTGGCAAACACAAATGCTCCCCTGAGCACTATGTGTGTGTGTTGGGCGGGAGGTGATTAGGGGGCGCAGCATCTCAGAAGAGTAGGGACTGAACCAGGGCAAGGAAATGGCAGTGTGGTATTCTGGGGATGCCCGGTGGATGAAAAGCTTCTTCCTAGGGCCAAACTAGGCATAAGACTCCCGGAGAGCAGTGGACCCTAAGAAACCCTAGCCGGTTGGGGAGGGGCCACTGAAGGAGACTTTCTGAACTGGCCGCCGGCCAGGCAGCGATCACAGCGGCGTCTCTTCTTGCTCCAGAGCGTGTGGCGGCAGTTCAGTAGAGCCCGGAAGAGAAGCGAGCTTAAGCAGAGCTGGGCGGCGGCGAGGGCGCGGCCTCTGGAAGGAGCGCCGACTGTGTACGCGGCGCGCAGCCGCAGACCGAGCGTGCGCACTGGGCGGGGCTCGGTGCTCTGGCCCTGTCCCGGGTTCACCAGAGGCAAAAGGTGCTGGCGAGATGCGCTCAGGTGGGGCGGGGCTCGGGGCACGTGGGGTAGCCAGCCGTGAAGGGAGCAAGGGCTGCTGAGCCGCAGCGGGTGGCCAACGCGGGGACAAGGTTCCGGTGAGCGGTGTGTCAGAGCCTGTGTCACCTGCGGGAAGACAGGGTATGCGTGACTCCCAGTCCAGAGGAACACTGACCTACAGAAACCTGTCCTCAGCCCAGGATTCCCTTCCTCCTGATTTTGTTGTTCTTCTGTGAATTGCCCAAAACTAGGTGTCGGCTCAAGAGCAAAGAGGGACCCCTTTGCTCCAAATGTCGGGGCATTTCTGCTGTACACTACTGCGGAGTTGCCGGGAGTTCCAGCCAGTGGCAGCGGTGCACACCGGCAGATCTGGATCACTCCCGATGTCCTGACACTTTCAAACCCTGCCCTTCACAGCAGCCCTCTCCACAGGGGCATCAGTCCCATACTCACCCCTGGGTACTACCGCTCTACCCCAGAAACCTGTCACAAGCTTCCAGGCACACCAGACTCTGAGGGGGGAAAGCCAGGTTTTTAATCCCAGCACTCGGGAGGCAGATTTCTGAGTTCCAGGCCTGCCTGATCTACGAAGCTACTTCCAAGACAGCCAGGGCTACACAGGGAAACCCTGTCTCAAAAAGAGGGGGGGGGGCAGCAAGTTCAGAAACAGAAGCACGGAGCAGGTGGGAGAGCACAGGGGTCATGTAGGTTTCCTGTCCTGCTACATCATTTCTCTCAGGAAAGAGCCCCTCTGCGCGCGCGCGCGCACACACACACACACACACACACACACACACACACACACACACACACACACACACACACAGACACATAGACACTCAGTGATCAGCCAGGTCTTGCCAGCAGCGCTGGCCAGAATCTCCAATTGTAAAGGTGTGTGCTTCATTTCCCACTAGATTGATAAAAGATCTCTACAAATGTCCACTAGACCCCCCAAAAAACCACTTTCATTTTCATCTGAAATGAACATGAGACATGACCACAGAATACTTCTATGTTTCTATGTTGAGGTCCAGGCTGGCCTCAAACCCTTAGCCGTCCTACCTATCTCTTGTAAATGCTGGGTTTAAAGGCATACACCACCATGCTAGGCCTCAAATGTATCTGTCTACTACACATTAGCTAGAGAAGCAAACTCAAATGGGAGCCCTCCATCAGTCTCCTAAGAAACACACAGCTGGACAGATGACCAAGGCAGGCTCTACAGAGTGAAGAAAACAGCTGCGAAGTCTGAGAAAGGGCAGGTCCAGGAGAGAGGCCTGAAGGCAATAGCTAGGAAGAAAGCAGGTGTTAGAGGAAGAAACCAGTTAGTTACATGTGTGTGGACTCGGGGAAAGTGGGCTGGAGCTGTTCCTCAGGGCCATCGGCCAGCAGGAAGGAATCCACGGATTTGTTGCTGAGGCGGAATGGTGTCAGACGGCGGAAGTTGCTGGGAGAGTTGGGAATCTGGACACGGGCCCTCTGCGAGGGCACCACGGTCTCCCCAGGGGACAGCCAGGGTGGCACCCTGGATAGGATGCTTGGGTCCAGGTCCTCATCAGGGGAGAACACGGGGTTATCAATTCCTAAGAGAAAGGGCAGCTGGTCAACCTCTAAGAAATACCCCCACAGGCAGTAGGAAGCTGGGTAGATAGGTTCTGTACTGGGTGACTATGTCAACTGTTCTTGTGGCTTCCACCTTCAGGGTAACCTGGATGGTCAGACTTAGACACTTAGACACACCCCACACTTTTCCTCATTTGAGACCCCGCACAACCTAGACAAGATGGGCAACCTCTCTGCTCTCTCAGGCCTGGCCTCTCCTTCCACATATACTCGCTGTCTGCTCTTGGGAGACATCTAAGTGGAGCAGCTGACACCCCCAAGACCTATACTAAGCCTCCCTTCAGGGACTCACTTGGGGCAGCAGGGACATCTCTCCCACTGGTCTCTCCTGTCTCACCTGCCCCAGATTCAGAGGTTACATCCTTGGTGACATTGGCCAGAAATTCAATGCCCCCACTGGTCTCTTCATAGTTGGTGGCCTCCTCAGGCTCTGAAAGTTCAAAATCTGGATAGCAGAGGGAAAAATATTTTGGGTAAGGATGACTCAAGTTCTTTATGATTGGTGGTACCTCACACACACCACACACAGGTGGTTTCCACAGCACTTGACCAGCCCAGTGTCCAAAGGCCTGGCGACTCCTGTGGTGCTTCCTTTTGTCACCCCCAACCATACTTGGTCTCTGGGAAGGTCTGTTGGATAGGAGGGGCTGGGACCTCAAGGCCTCCAGTGAAAAGGATGGAGAAAGACCACGTGTGTGTGTGTGTGTGTGTGTGTGTGTGTGTGTGTGTGTGTGTGTGTACAAGCTGTGTTGAGTGCCCACAGAGGCCAGAAGAGAGTATTAGATTCCCTGGAGTTAGAGTCACAGATGACTTAAGGTGCCTTATATGGGTGCTAGGAACTGAACTTGGGTTCTCTGGAAGAACAGCAACCACTTTTAACGACTGAGTTGTCTCTCCATCCCATAGGGGGAGTGCTTCTCTATGGTTTAGCAACAGGAGGGTCAGAGAAGAGCACTAAGAGTGTCTGGCCTAGTGGCATAGTCCCCCAACAAGGGATGCATGGAGGCCCAGAGTCAGAGTCCCTGAGTGCAGCCACCGGTAGAGTCTGGAGTCTCTTCTGAGTCAAGCACATGCAGAGAAACAGGTCTTACCTTTCTCCTTGATGACAAAGTTGTGTGCCAGGTTCTCCATGGGAAGCTTCCCATTAGGAATGCTGCTGTTCCTCTGTGGACAAGTGTGAGCTCTTACAGACGTACCGACACCCAGACCTCTAACTTGCTGAAACTTCGCTTTCTGTCCTAGACCTCAAGGGTCTCTGCTCTGGTGAAAGGCTGTTCACCTGGTAGCTTGCCTGGCCAGCAGGACCACAGAGGGTTCCTTGACCCTTCCCAGTATTAGACGCCCACCCAACAACCACCGCCCCCGCTGCCTCCACCTTCCCTCACCCGCTTCTGGGCACGCTCCCTCTTGTACAGCTTGGCTGCCTTCTTGTTCTGGTTGATGCCTAGCTTGGCTGACTTAAAGGACTCCAGGCGCTTCCTCATGGTCCTGTGGAAGATTTCCTTGTCCTGCTTTTCATCCTCGTTGGGTGTTATCTCATGCCGACTATAGAGATGTTTGTACTGTGGGAGCAACCGGCCGTCAGTTGGGCCTGTATGGCCCAGGTGGTTCACCAAGCCTCCAGCTCAGCCCTGTAGACCCCCTTGTCTGAGAAGGAGGCAGACATTGCTCTAGGTGTGGGCGAGGTTCCACCAGCCACAGCACACGAAGGGACCACAAAGGCTTGCTCTGTGGGACAGGAGGGCGGACTCTTGGTGGCTCAGCCCCTGGTACCCACCTCCTGCCGAGGCTTGTACAGGTACTGCTGCAGTGTGTGGTGGGTGACCATGTCCTCAGTGTCACGGATGCTCCTCCGCCTCTGCTCCAAGGACTGCATATCCAGGCATACAGTACTGACATTCTCCCTCCTGCACAGACCAACACTGAGCCCAGGGGATGGCTACACAGAGCTCTCTGCCCTGCCTAGATACCTGGTAGTCCCTCCCCACACGACTACCAGTCCACAGCCCAACTATGAGTCCTGAGGCCCATGGCCTCCCCTAAGCTATTGCAGGAACAGCCACCATCATAAGAAGTGGCCATCAGTTGCCCAGGGGAGAGGGTATGAAATGCTGGACCAGGTCAGGCATCTGCTGCTATCCCTTCCTGCCCTCCTCCTCTCTAATATCAGCGCATCCCAAACACAGTCCTGCTGATTGCTGAGTAAGGTGCTTCCTCAGATGGGGATGCGGGCATCTTTCTGTACTCTTCTACATCAGTCCACTCACACTCTCCTGACCCAATTGCCTTAGGACCTGCAGAAGGAGCTAGTAGGCTGAAGAGTCGGGAGAGAGATGCTTTTAAGGAGTGCCCTTTCCCAGAGAAGTTTATGAACTTTTCACATACAAGAGATAGGAGACAGATGCCTCCACAGTAGATGGGCGTGGTGTGCTGAAGTCCACATTGACCATATTGTCCGTACTCGGGGAGCGGATGAAGGCCAGGGACCCACGGCGCTCTCCCTACAAGGAAGATATAGACTCATTAGTACTCAGAGATGACCCTTAGGCAGCACCTGCCACATAGAAGTCAAAAGATCCTGTGACCAAGCTCAAGGGCCTGTTGGCTCTGGGAGGCAGAGATGGAGCCCAGAGATGGACCCTGTCCAATGTCAAGGGACACCTTACAGCTCAGCAAGGACCACGATACAGAGTAGGAGCTGGGATTAGGTCCATGTAGAGGTCATCAGAACGTCATTTGAGAGGAACAGAGCTAAGAGTTGAGCAGACAAAGCAGTAGAAACAGAATCTCTTAAAGGACACTGACAAGTCTAGGGTATACCACTCCTACTTGAAGGTAGGGGAGACAGTTTTTGCCCCCACCAGAGCCACCAACCCACAGGCCGTAGTTTGGATGCAAGTCAAAGCCACATAGAACAGAGCTGGACAGTAAGCAGAATTACCAGAGGATAGAAAAACTGTTTCCTAGTTAGGGCCTGAATCAACAAAGTAAGAAGCTTCTGCGGGTCACAGACAACAGTAAACTATGGCCTCAGGTAGAGTCCCTAGGGGACAGCTGGGCCAGGGTTAGAAGGGTGATGGCCTATCAGGTGTGTTCTTCCCTTGACCATGTCAACACATCATTGTACAGTTTGCGAGGCGCTCCCTTAGGAGCCCCTCAAAGAGGGTGGGATTGTTTGGATAGTCTGGTGACAGGAAACACTTGGGACCGGGCTTGGACTGCCTGCTCCAGGGTATTGACTTATCATTGGTATGGGCTGGGACTTTTTGGTCTTTTTCTTCCAAATCCACCATTCTTTGTATTCTTTTTTTTTTTTTGCCACTCATCCTCCTTAAGTGTGGGCATCTCTCCTATATCATCGATGGTGCCAGGAACTCCCCACCCCAAGGGTATATCAGGAAAGAAGTCAGGTGACCCTTAGGGCAGAGACTTAGAGCTGAAACAGTGCTGGGGTTCCTAGACAAATAGTCAAGGGTGGGGGGCAAGAATCTCGGGATAGGGAAGGACCGATATAGACAAACCACCCATGTAGGACTTGGAGCCATCTCTCCCAACGGTGATGGGAATGATGGTACAAAGCTCAAGACATTCTGGCTGCTGTAGTGGGGAGCAGGTGAGGCTCAGGGCTCTGACCAGTGTGAAGTCAGAGTTGAAGAGTCTCTCAGAGACTGAGAGAAAGTGACAAGTGAATGCTTCCAGAGATCTCAGCCCACTCTTTCATTCTTATCCTCCATCTTTGTCATTGTGCCAAGGTCACCCAGGGTCATAAAAGGTTGGAATTCTTTATAAATTCTGCCTAAGAGAGGAGGCATCTCAGATTGAGAACCACAATATTACTTGGGTGGTAATGGCCATGGGGTCATGTGGTGCCTGGTTGGCCCTACGTCTATCTATAAAGGATGCCTTGGAACCTAGATAGGGGTGGGTCATGAATGCACTAGCCACAAGATAGTTACATGTGTGTCTGTGTTGTTATCTATGCATACACATGTGTTCATAAGTATGCATGTATGTATGTACATATGTGTGTATGGATGGATAAGTGCACATGTACCTGGGTATGTGCATGTTCATATATATATATATATATATGTGAGCATTCCTATAGATTTGAGTGTGCATGTATCAGCCATGTGTATACATTTGTGTATGCTCATGTAAGGCTGCTCCTTAAGGTTGGCAGCCAGTAGGAAGTATCTCTCACCTGTTGCTGAGTACAACATATATGTGTGAATAGACAGAGTAGACAGAGGACACGGACCCATTACTGTCTTTCCCAAACATTTCCAGTCTCTTCAGGGAAAAATACAGGCATTCAGACTCCTCTAGAGCCTGGTTACCATGTCAGTTCTACCAAACCAGTCTCCAGATGGTCACTGTGCCTATGCCTCCTGAGTGGCAGGGAACTCTGACATGCCCTATTCCCAGAATACAACTCCAAGCCTCACATGAACTTTTGCAGTGAGCCATCCAAGCGTAGAGCACAAGGGTCACTCACCACTGCTCTCTGCCCATGCCCTAGACCACATGTATTTTCTTATTTTAGCCCTCAACTTTAGTAAAGGGTCACATAGGATATTCAAATACCTCGGCCACATAGCTAATAGCGTCCTTCAAATTCAGCTCATGGAAAACATTCAGAATCCGATCTCGAGATTTTTGAGCCGATCTTCTCATGAGGACTTTGCTGAGGAACTTCCTATCAAAATTGGACCACCTGGGGGACAAAAGGTCACATCAGCACTGGGAGTCTGGGGCTGCCTGTCCCACATGGACAAGGTCAGAACAGGGAAATGTCTGCCAGAGCTAAGCCCAACATAGAACCAGCCTTTTTTCTTCTGGGTTTTATTTATTGTAACAACCTGAAAGTGAATTTTAAAGTGAAAGGTCGTCAGGCCACCTCAGATTGCACCCTTTGCTTTGACAGCGGCTGACAGTAGAACTCTATGCCATTTTCAAGTGACCGGATTTCCAAGTGGCCACCTGATCCTCCAAGTGCTGTGAGGACAGGACCAAGATTAAGACACCAGCAGCCACAGTTCCAATTCTAGAGATATCGTGCATTGTCCTCTGATCACTCTCCCCAACATATACACTTCAGGATCAGCCTTCCGACCCAGACAATGTGTCTCTGGCTCCTTTGAATGGAGAGGTTCTCCAGAAGTGCTGTCCTGTGGTTCTTGAATTATGGCAGCACAGCTGATGTGGCTTCCAGCGTCTTCAGTGGCCCTGTCTGCACGTGGGGGGCCCACAGCTCTGTGTTTGAGGGGTCACTGGTGGAAGAAGGAATGTTACAGCTTAAGCTACTTACTTATCTCTGAGATAGTTGTGTCCGATTTGTCCTGAGATGTCCTCAATGGCAGAGAGGATGTGGTCGAAAGCCTTTGAGAGGAAAGCGACTTAGTTGACTATCCGTCCTCACACTCAGCCTGTGCCCACGCTGTGCCTCCCCAGGCTGTGGGGGTCCTCCCTGTTCTCACCCGGCCATGTAACTTCTCGTTGAGCTTGGGCTCGCGCTCTTCACTCCTCTTCACCTTCAGCCACTGCACCAGGGGCTTGATGGTCAGGCCCTGAAAGACAGCCTCACTAATTCCGGTGCCAGGCAGGGTCCCCATTCCCAGAAGGGCCCTCTAAGCCCAAGCCAGACAGACATTAGATCTCTTCTCCCACTGGAGACAGCACAGGGACCCATGAATCCACTGGCACTGCCCTATAAAAAAAGATGCCCCAAAGCCCCTGTGCTGTGGACGTCCATACAGACATCAGAACCTCCAGCTGTCACTTTGGCCAGCCAGAGGCAAAGGTGTGGTAGGTGCTTGCTAGTGCCTGACCAATCAGCAGTCAGGAAGTAACTAGGTCTGTTCTCTTAAGTCCTGGCCAGGAAGTAACACTTTTAGGACAAATTATGTTATGTCCCCTGTGGGGCCACATGAAAACCTAAAAAATGCTCCTAATTACTAAAATTACAAAAACCAATTAAAGTGTGGAATTTAGAAACCATCTACCTACAGAGTTGAGATAGGGACAGTTGCCCTTAGGTAGGCTCAAGGTTTGGACAAGCTGAGGCAGCGGCCTGGGCAAGCTGAGGCAGAGGCCTGGACAAGCTGAGGCAGCGGCCTGGGCAAGCTGAGGCAGAGGCCTGGGCAAGCTGAGGCAGAGGCCTGGGCAAGCCGAGTCACACCTGAGGCAGCGCCCTGGGCAAGCCGAGTCACACCTGGAAGATCACTGTGAAGAAGACCACGATGAGAGTGGTGCTCACAAACAGATTTTTCTCCTTGACTTTCTTCTCATCCAGGAGCACCACCAAGGCGTAGGCCACTGCCCCACGCAGGCCACCGTAGGACATGACCACCTGGTCAATGGTCTCTAGCTGCACCATGCGGTAACGATTCAGGATCCAGGTCTGCAGAACAACACCTGTAGCAAGAGGTCACTCAGCTCCGTGGCTGTTTTCCCCAAGGCCACACCTCAGGGTTCCCTAAAGCCTTTTGACCCTCTCTGTCCCTTGGAGGACTATGAAGGCTGGGTTGTGGGTCTATACCCAAGGGCACTACTGGCCAGGTCCTCTGTGGGATGAGGCAACAGTGCTGCTCTCACCCCAGCTTCTACCTCCCATTCCTTCATCCTGTCCCTTGGTGCCTCATTGGTCCCCATGCTGCACCTTGAAAAATCTTGGCCTTTATAGAGATCAGTGGTTGGACTTGTTACTGAGCTTCCCTGGGACCCTCAAATCTATAATCAAAATTAAGGGAGCTTAACAGCACCATGAGTGCCCCTAACCCTCACCAATGGCTCTGTATACAGAAATGAAGACCAACGTCAGCAACACAAAAGCCGTGTTCCACGTCCAAATGAGGGGGTCCACAGCTGAGATGCCCAGGAACATGAAGATAATGGTCTCTGATCCACTGGCCAGCATCTTCATGGTGTAGCGCACAGTGGTGGCCGACTGCTCTGAGATATTGGCCTTCACGTACTTCTGACAGCAGATGCCACAAAAGGTGATGCTGGAGAAGGGGCAGTGTGAGGTTTCCCTGCCTCTATTCAGACAGGCTGATGCCTCAGACCTGATGATTCCAGCCCCAGCTCCTGCCATCCCTACTTCCTCTGGGGGCATAGCTGACCTCTGCTTCCCAGCAGATGTAATCTACAATGGACAGTCCTGTGTTGTGGGAACCCTGCTCTTCCTGAGGGTCAATGCCCTGATCCCAGCTGCTCCCATGCTCTAAGTAGATGTGGAGTTTCAATGAAGAAACGGCCATCAAGCCTGTGGAACTGTTGGTAGCTGGATGGTAACCAGGTCACACTAGCCTTTGGAGAAGCTTGGAGCCAACTTTGGTGTGGGAAGCTCCTGCCTGAGAGAGGCTGCGTGCCAGCAGAGGCTCTGATAGGGTTTCTGGACAGCTCATTCTTGAATCACAAGCCACAACACACACCTACCCATCCTCCAGATAGGCACCTGTCTAGCCAAGGACTATTCTGAGGGCTTATCTACTTCTTTAAAAAAAAAATTAGAGCCGGGCAGCGATGGCACACGCCTTTAATCCTAGCAATCGGGAGGCAGAGGCAGGTAGATCTCTGTGAGTTTGAGGCCAGACTGGTCTACAGAGTGAGTTCCAGTTCAGCCAAGGCTACACAAAGAATGCCGGTCTCAAAAAACAAACAAACAAACAAACAAACAAAAAATTAGATTGACTTCTTTGCCCCGGCCAGTGAATTTCTACCCAACTTTGAAAGCCACAGAAGCTACACAATGGGCTTGAAATTCGTGTTCCTAAGAGGGGACAGTAGACAGGTACCAGGTACACTCCCACAGCCCCCACCAGGATGACGGCAAGGAGCCCAGAATACCCCTTGCTCACAGCGGCACCTTCTGCCGGGGTTTGAGTGCAGGGGATCTCAGGCACATCACCAGCTAGAAAGCCACCTACCCAGCCCAGCCAACAGCAGGAGGTCACTCCCTGAGGGAGACTTACGCCAGGATCGCTGACAAGGACAGCATCTCGGAGGTCAGGTAAGACAGGTAGGAAATGACAAAGACGAAGCCAGGTTCGATGATACGCACATGCTTGGTGAAGCGAGTCACCAAGGACAGCAGGAAGGCGAAGATAACACCCACCAGGGTCCCCCCTAGGCTCACCACGAAGAAGGACACTGTGAGAGAAAGGAACGAAAGTGGCTCGTGAGGCAAGTGGAATGACCAGGCTGGCCGGTCACTCCTCATGGAGGCTCCTGGAAACTGCTCACAGCAATGCTGAAAGTTTAGGAAATGAGGCAATTCTGCTCTCAGTGAGAGTGTCTGGTCTCCAAGTTTAGTGCAGGAGGCCGAGGCCAGAGGCATGGTACCCAGGAAAAAGGACTCCATGGGAGGGAGCATTGCCTTGGCATGTCTGCCGGCTTGGATCAGGAGCAAGGTCTGAACCCTGTGTCCTTAGACACTGTCCATCTGTCCTTGCTTAGGGAGACCTGGATTGACTGACCATATACCTTTTCAAAGGAACACACTGACTCCCCCAGAACCTTCATCAGTACTGTTTATGTGGTGTTCCGGGAAGGAAACCCAGCCTGGTAACCAGCATATAGCTTGGAGACCCCAGGATAGCAGAAGTCCTAGGGATTCTATTCTAGAGAGGACACAAGCCTCTGTACTTTGACCACTAGATCTGAGACAGGCTAGGCAGGAACCCTCCCAATACATACCTATGCCTTTCACACAATCCACGCCAGTCACCTTGTCACCACCCAGCGTCACAAAAGACTCAAAAACATTGTACAAGACCTAGGGGTACAGAAGACAGGAACACATCTGGTCAGCCCTGCATCCACACTGACCCCTCCCTGCCTAGTGCCCCCTCTTTTCTGGATTTGGGCCTCAGAGTTCACACCTGAAACTGCTAAAAACACTTGTAAAGCCAGCACAAAGTGACAATGGTCAACAGGAAAGGACCGGAGGAACCAGCAAGCGGGATGTGCAGACCAGTGAGTGGCCCAGTCTCTGACTCTTGTGCTACGCTCCTGTAGACTCTTGTTCTATGCTCAATGTTCAAGGAACGCCAAGGCAGCTGTTCAGACTGTTTAGGCATAGCCGTGATGGGCACTGAGTCCTCAGCAAGCTGTCTGTACTTCCTCATGAGGACCAAGGTGGGGAAGGCATGGACCATGAGGGCAGGAGGTAACCCTTGGTCCACAGGAGGCCTCGGGGCCACTGTAGCTCAGGAAGGCTGAGAGCTATTTGCTGAGTTTCAGACTAGGTCTCAAATGGGCCCTCATAGTCTCCTGCACACACAGAAACCTGATACAACGCACACTGCACTTCTGCACCCAAGGGAGCATAAGACTTGGGGAATTTCTTAGGGACCACAGGCACGTTCAGATGGCAGAAGAAACCAAACACACTTCCTCAGGTGTCAGCTAAGTTCTTGGGCCCATTCTTACCAGTTAATCCCTCATCCCCTCCCACAGACCTGTAGTCCATCTGGGGACAGGTTTTGAAGTTTCCATAGGGCTGCACCGAAGCAGCCGCTATGCTCATGTTTCATTAACCTGCTTCTTGTTGCCAGGGAGAACACAACCTCATCTTGGTGGAGACCTTATGCTAACTCCACTGCATGGGTCCGAGAAACCCCAGATGTCATCAGGAGAATCTTGACTCACTGAAGGAGCTAAATGCATTTTCTCCACTTACATGTTGAATCCTGACCCCAAGACCTCAGAATGCAGCTGTTTGATAATAAGTCTTCAAAAAGGCAGCTAAGGTTAAATGAGCTCAATAGAGTAGATCTTGGTGTATAAGAAGACTGCAGGACACAGACATACAGAAAATGATCATGTGAGGATACAGAAAAGATATAGCATCTGAAGGCCAAGGAAAGAGGCTTCCAGAGCCAGCTACCATTCTTGGTTCTCAGCCTCCAGCCTTCAGCACTGAGACAATAAATTCTCACTGTGACAGCCCCAGGCTTCTGTGGTACTTTGTTATGATGGGCCCAGAAAATTAATGCAATTCCTGTAAGAGTTTATTGTTTGTTTATTCGTCTGTTTCTTAGGAAATAGTGTGTAGTAGCAAGTGTGTGTCCAAAATTATAGACCTCTGGGGGATGTGGATATGTGGATTTCAACCGGGCAGCATTACCTCCAAAGGCATGAAATGGGTGAGCCCAAGATTGTAAAAGAGAGAAATGGGATGAAGCTGAGTTAGGAAGCCAGAAAAAGATTGGAGCCTATCCCCCACCTCCCCCTCATTTCCCAAGGCTGCTGTGCCAGTGAGAAGGGATGGATGAAGGAAATACCCTGCAGGGTGTTGGACATCCTAGGTTGAAAACATGGCTGTAAAGGGAGACCATGATTAGATAGTGACCCTCTTTCAAACTTATCTGAGGCATATTGGTAATGGCCATTTGTCAAGGTATCCTAGAACCTCCAAGCAAATGAAATGTTCTGTAGCTACCCCCAAGGACCCCCACCATCACTCACCACAGTCACTGCATCATTCAATAGTGACTCTCCAAAAACAATTATGAAAAGAACTTCATTGACGTGGACTTCCTCAAACACAGCCAGCACAGCCACAGGGTCCACAGCAGCAATGAGGCTACCAAAAAGCAGGAAATCCAGGAGTCCAATCTTCAGCTCACCTGGAAGAGATGTGGACCACTTGGCTCCCTCTGTCCAAATCCCACATCTACCAGGTCCCTAGGAGATCAGAGGTATCAGGAATAAAGGCTAGACAAACTCTTTCCAGGGCTACCCAGTGACAAAGAGAATCTCAGAGACTGGAGCTCGCAGCCAGACACCCCAGAATGTCTAAAGCTACACAGTTCCCCATGAAGTGCTTCATTCTCTTTTTTGAGCAGGGACAGAACTTGCCATCCTTTGGGATGAAAGAATGAACCTTGGGAAGTAAGTGCCCCAGGTATCCAGTGTGCCCCCCAAAAAGAGTAGAAGTCACAGGACAGAGTGGTCTCTGTAGTTACTTGAGCCCCATCTGTCTGTGAGTAACAAATTTTGCTGCCTCCAACTAGGACCAGAGCCTTCCGAGTTTCCATTTAGAAAAGGACCACACACTCAACTGCCACACTATATATGCCCTGTCCAGCTTTCCAGAGCAAACCAGCTTCTGGTTCAGTCTTGAAATGCCTTAGCAGAGCCATCCTCTTGTTCTAGAATCTTGACAGCACCAGAGTACATTCCCAAAACAAGCTGGATCCCAGCAGACGTACAGTCCACTGAATCAGGATTGGCCCCCCACTTGGACAGTGCACCCTTGTCCTTGAGCCTGGAACTGATGACCTTCAGGATAGCTGGCCTAGGCTGACTCTCCCAGTAAGGGTGAGTGAACCCTGGCTGAGCACTACCTAGGCAAGTCTAGGTACACCATCAGCCAGAGTCACAGAGGAAAGGGAGCTTGTGGGACAAGTATGATCTTTCTGGTCAGCCTTGACTAGCAAGGTCCCAAAGGTGGACACAGGCCAGCATCCTATGTCTATCATGAGAGAGTCTGTAGGGAGTGATATACAATACTGGTTATTAAAAGACAATGTGGTATAGCAATTCTTCATGGCTATGGCATGGTGGGAAGATGGGTCTGGGTGTCCCCAGAGATTAAAATTCTCTAGATTTTGGTGACCATTTCTGATGTAAGCATATTTGCCAAGGCTCAGCTAACTATTTAAAGGCCTGTGCTTACACCACAAATTAGTTTGTTAGAGGCTTCTCCATGCACCCTAAAAACAGCCCCAGGAGCTGGGATCATATGCTGGGATCTTATGGTGACAAGGCTGTAGAGTGAGGGTCAGGATGACCCTTAAAGGAATATGGGTATTAGATTCCAGAAGTCCCTACTCTGTATCCCAAGACATCTCTCCAAGGCCAGAGGGAGATAGCCATCTTAGATGTGTCTCATTGCCTTATATTATCACCAATGTGACCAGTAGTACCCACTCCAGAGTGGGATGCCTAGAGTCTTATTAGCCAGGCAGGTCCTTACCATTGGGGTCTCTAATAATGCTGGACAGCAGGGACCGCAGGAGCTCCCTAAAACAATAAGATCCCAAGCAATTGATAGTTCCTGGGTTTACTGCTCTCTGTTTCTCCTTAGGCTCTAGGATTTGAAGGGGCTCATTCACTCAGTGAATGTGCCAAAGGGAAAGTCCTGACTCGGAGTCTTCCTGTGAGCACCTACTCACGTCTGCTCAGACATCACCTGCTGTCTCCCAGCTGGACAAAGGTTCACCACAGAGGGTGGGGTGTTCCTGGGAGGTAACCAAGGCTAAGTTAAGTAATCACTAGTAGATTTGAGCAGAAACAGCACCAAACCACTCAAGACTTTGGCATGCTCAACTCTGTAATTCACTCATAAGTCTAGAAGTAGTCCACTTTCATCTTCTTCTCCCATGGGGGCTAAAAAGCTGGCTCACGCCACTCTGACAACTATGTCAACTGCCTATGCACACTTACCCATCCTGCTGGTCTGTGCAGTCACAAATCTGTTTTGAACATGACACAAAAGCCTTAGCTTGCAGATGTCACAAGGAAGCTAATTATAGACCGAACCTTCTTAGAAATACCAGGCTAGTTACTTAGTAGTCCCCAGAGACATTGCCCATCATCCTTAGCCCCAACCCTTCTGTGTCTGTGATCTGCACCTTTACCTTAGCTCACCCAAAGGACAACATACAGACTTACCCATTAGGCCACTGAGGAAGACACCATAGAGGGACAATCCTGTGGTGGCTGCATTCCATATGGTGCCAATGACAGCATATAGCAGGATGGTGCCCAGGTTACCAAAGAAGAGTCGATTGGGCATGAAGTATCCAGCATCCAACACGATAGGGGGCAGCAGGTAGAAGAAGAAGAGCGTGGGTGTGAGTGTGAAGGAGGCGATGTGGTCAGCTGCCCAGACGATGCCGCCCAGCACCAGGCCCAGAACGATGAGTAGAGCGCTCTCGGGGACAATGCTGGTGACCTTGTGGGACAGATGAAAGACTGTGGGGAGGAAAGAGGATCAGGGAGATCAGGGCCTATAAGGGACCACAGTGGCAAAGTGAAGATCTGGAGGCAAGGTCCCCCCCCCCAGGAATGGGAGGAGTCAGGGGCAGATGCCACTCCTCAGCCCCCACCCCCACCCCCGCACCTATGAGATCAGGGTAGTCACTGATTTCTTGTAAGCTTGACTATCAAGAAGCCAACTAGTTTCCACCTGGGGTTTTGAAGACCCTTCCTGTAGGAGCTGCTATCAATGGTTCTCAATTTGTGTGTCACAACCCCCCCAAACCACTGGAAAACATTCATAACAGTCACAAAATTATAGTTATGAGGTAGCAACAGCAATAATTTTATGGTTGGGGTCACCATAACATGAGGAACTGTAATTAAGGGTCACAGCCTTAGGAAGGTTGGGAACCACTGCATTAGATGGGCCTCTTCTTGGGTACCTGGGATAATGCAAAGAGCTCCCTAGCTACCCACAGTTGATGGTGGATGAGAGAGCACTGTTGGTGGTGAGCAGGTCCTTCTGGAGATGAATCGCTCCTGCCCATAGCTGGCACACATAGACAGAGCCAAGGCCAAGAGCTGGACAGAGCTCAGTCACACCAAGCCGTTGTCTCTACCTTATGGAATCTCCATGTTCACCCAAGGGTAACAAAGTATGCATACCGGATGACAGAACCTCCCACCCCATGACAGACTCCACAGGTTGAGGCTACATAGCAATTGAGAGGAAGTGATCTAAGTTGGGCAGATGGACATCCCTTGCCTCCCAGGTAGGTGCCCCCCCATTTGACTGGCTGTTCCTAAGGTTAAACCCATTCCATTGCAGTCACCTTTAGGAAACCCATGCTCCTCATGTCCCCTATGACTCCTTTGGGGTCACAGCCATTTAGGAGTAATAGCTCCTACAGCAAGGGGCTCCAGAACCCCAGATAGAAACTAGTTAACTTCCTAATACTCAAGCTTGCATGAAACCTATGACCACCTCCGTCAAGCCCCTCAGTCTCCTCAGCCATCATCAACCCTGCTAGAGCTTGACAGATGCTCAGCTCTGCCCTGTAAAGAAGCACAGCCACTTGGCCGCAGGTCTTGTGTCTGATTTGGACTCAAAAGAAAGGTGACCTAATTCCTCCTATGCTGAGTCTGATTTTAACACAATTGAATGCTGACACACAGGGAGGGCTTCCTCCTTTGGCTCAAGCAATGTTTTGTACAAGCAAATTCATTCACCAAGGCTGTTATGTTGATGATATCTCCAAAATCTAAAAAAAAAAGTGTGTTCCCCCCAGGCCCCCATCTCCAAACATCAAAAATCCCCCTTGGGCCGGGGTGGTATGGTCTCAGGAAAAGCATCTCCTGGTGGGGCTGATGATGGTGGGGCCTGCAGGATGGTTTTGGACCCACCCTTCTCGACTGGACAGCCTTGACAGGGCTCCCTGGCTGGTTTCTCCACAATAATTGCGGGGATTGCAGGGATTAGGTGGGCCCCTCCACCCACGGGGTGGAGCTTGCTACTGTCCTTAACCATGACAGTCCCGAATTACATACAAATGGTGCACATGCCCTTTCTGAGCCTGGACAGAAGCATATGTTAGATCAGATTGGCACTTCGATGTCAACCTGCTAGCCTGTCACCAGAAATCATCAACATAACAGAGACTGTCACATCATTGGTTACCACCTGTAGTCACCAGGCCAGACTCTGGGTTGTGGTGAGGGTCAGGTTTTAGCTGGCACAGAAAGATGCGTGCCTGTCTGTGTCCCCATAGCTGCTTTCCCCATCCCAGGAGCACATTTTACCCATTTGAATCAAGTTTCCCTTCTCTTCTCTAAAGGCGTTCACTAATATCAGGTGGAGTTAGTTATGAGGCCTATCCTATAATACTGATATAATTTCCAGACCATCTTAGGTGCCTGGGACAAGTATATCAGAGAAGGTACCAGCTCAGACTGATGGAAGCTGCTGAAAGGGGGATTGCCATGGAAATGTCTTGACTCCTTGGGTCCTGTCCAGGCTTATCTAGTCTTTTGAGGTACCAGGGCCACTGGCTGGAAAATATCTGGAGGGTCTGATATTTCTGGGGTTTACAGGCTCATGTTCTCTTATTGGGTGCTGTCTCTACTCTAGGGAGAGGCCATAATGTGGATAAGAAGACCCCAAGTGTGTGCTGGCCACAGGGAGCTCGGGACAAGTATATGCAGCATCACCGGCTGCACACAGAAAGCTTGAATCCTCATTCTGTTCAAGAATCTCAGCAAGTTTTGACACCCAACTTGGGAACCCCCCCCAGACTCAACAGATCATGAACCATCCTAGGGCTCTGAATTCTTAGACCCAAAGGAGTTGTGCTGAGGAGTTCTTGTGGCCTTTGGGATGAGACTGTGATGCCAGGGGAATTCTAAGAATCTATGCATTGGTATTCTACCTCCCTGAGTCAAGATAAAATTCCCATTTTCTATTCTGTCTGGTAATATAAAAGTTGGGCTCTGAGTCCAAAGGCTGTGTTCAGAAATGTCTCCAACAGCAGTTTCCTCAAAGATTGGCAGCAGCGGCTCCATGACCATAGCATCTCATGTGTTATGGTGGTTCAGCTTCTTTCTCAAGGATGCAAGCCATACCTTACTTTGGCTCTGTCCTCCAACCTCACAAGCCCCATGTGCCAGGCTTACAGGAAGCTGTGTAGAAACCACAGAGACCATGTCCTGCCTTTCTTCATGCCCTGGGCTGGCTCCAGTTGGGGGAGGGGTGTCACCTTTCTGCCATGTCCTACACATAATTTCAGTCTGAAAGCAGGTGCCCTGTGTCTCTTGGGTCCCTAAAGTGTGCGTCTCTCTGACGAAGGGCCATGAAAGCGGACCAGAAACATCCGAGCTCTGACCACACCCGGGCTGTGAGGCTGCCCTTCTGCTCAGGACTTTGGTCTTTTCCTACACCCTCTCTCCATAGTAGAGACCACAATTATCTCACCTCTGTGCAGTTCCCTTTGACAGCGGAGACTAGGGAAGGCACCAGAGCCATTCTTATCTCTAGAACAACAAGGTAAGTCTGCCCTTTAGACACTAGCAGCTAATCCCTTCTGTGTGGTTGCTGGTGACTGTAAGGTCTCAACTAGTGGAGTATGGGTGCACGGAAGGCAGGCTGGCCTCAGATCAGCTGCTCTTCTTCAGAAGCAAGCCCTGAAAATCACAGGAAAATGACAACCTCTTCATTTCTCTGAACCTCCATCTATGTATGGTGTAGATGGGATGAAGACCACCTCTCCCCTTTGCCATTTCTGTGAAAGAAGGACCAACTTGGAATATACATTTCCACACATGAAAGAAACCAGAAGAGTGAAGGACTATATGTTCTTGGGTCCAAAGTGCCTCCTGGAAGACCGCTGCTGCCCCTGTATACCTCATAGTCCAACATCTCATTGAAGACTGAACCCCACTTTCTTTTACTATTTGTGGGCACTGGCTATATTTTCATGTTTAAGATACTTTTGTTCTTGTCTGTGAGCTGTTATTTACAGAATTTGAGAGCTTATTCATTGGGGTGCTCATCCTTTTCATAAACTCTTCCTGATCTCTTCCTTGACTGTGCACAGCCATCCTTTCAAGCTTGCCATTGTAGCCCTGATGTGTCCTGGTCCTAGCAGGGTTTACCTTGATATATTCTGGGTGATCTGCTCCTGGGACCTCAAGTGGACATTACTCCAGGAAGGGCTCAGGCCAGTCTGCTCTGCTTATTTTATTTTTAATACCACAAGTTTTCTGTAGAAGCCACATTTCATCCTTAAGAATGATCTGAGGGGCCTGGAGAGATGGCTCACAGGTTGAGAGCACTGGCTGCTCTTTCAGAAGTCCCAGGTTCGATTCTCAGCAACCACATGGCGGCTCGCAACCATCTATAGTGGGGTCTGATGCCCTCTTCTGCCATGCAAGTGTACTATGTAAATAAATAAATAAACCTTTAAAAATGACCCAAGGACAGATCTTAAAATGAATGTTCACACTTTCAGCCTGTGGTTTTTGTTTCTCCTATTTCCAGGGAGTTTCCTGAACTCTGGAGCAGGTGGCTGCCTCCATGCCCTTTGATAGTCCCCCACTGACCTGGAGTGGAGGTACAGGCAGTGTTCCTGCAATAGTTTGAAATGGAGCAGCAGGCATCTACACCTGGGCTCTTCCAGGTCTCCTTCTCTGCGCGCTGTCCCTCCGATCATCTTAATTTCACTGAAAGTCTCAAGCCTTCTGCCTTGTGGTTGTGTGAGCCGAGCCATCTCTCTCTGCTTCCTGCTATTCTTATTCATTCCCTGGGCCTAACGTTGGTGGGCATTTGCACCATTCTCGAGGCGCTGAAAATCATGTCCAGGTTATCATGTCTAGCAATGGACTCTGGGTTCTGGAATCTACACTCTGACCCTGTATCTCTCTGGTGAATCTGGGGTTTTGTTCGTCTTCCCTGGGTCTGGGCACTTTCCTGGTTCATGGTGTCACTAGCTGCCCCTGAGCAATCTCCCGTGCGTTGTGTTCCTGCCTGAGTTGAACGGCTTTCCTACTGACCTCAGCCACCTTTTCTGGGGCCTGTGTGTTCTTCTGGGCTGGATGACTCCTTTACTCCTCATTCTTCTGTTGTCAGTTTTGCCGTGACCACAGGGAAAAGAAATCTCAGAGATCTATCTCTGGGCCTCAGTGGCCCTGGGTTGGCAACTGATCATGTGCTCTAGGCTGGGACCATCCTCACTCAGCGGTGGAATACCTGGTGGTCGGGGCCCACAGGGCCCACTTGGCACAGCTTAAAGTAGCCTAGTCTGTGCAGGCTCGCGTGTGTCCCTATGACTACCTCCTAAACAGCAATCTGCACCGTAATTAGCTACTTAAGCCAAAAGTTCAATTGGCTTTAAGTAGCAATTTGCTGGTAGCCCAGCAGTCACAGACATAATGGGCATTCTAGAAATTAGTAAGCCAGCTGCTGCAGAACAATCCTACAGTAAATAGTACCTGCTTCCTGT